ACCTGCAATAAAAAGTAAAATATACCATACAAAATATAGACCCTGCGTGGATTAAACGCAAAACGCCTTATGATCCCGCAGTTGGCATTGTCTTTGCCATTCTAGTTCGCAACGAGACACGTAGAACTCGTCTTACGCTTTGAAAAGTCCTTTCAAGAGATAAGTCGGCAGGAGATTATTCAATAAAACTAAATTAGTTGTCGTTTTAAAGATCATATATGCGCTTGCGATTTCGCGGTAAGTTGAAAGATGTTGTGAAATTACTTTCGCGCGCAACCTTGTTCGCGAATCCTTTTTCCAATTACCGCGATAATTTCGGCAAAAATCCACTCAACACTTTCGTAACATGTTAAATCACCTTTGACTTTCATTCGGGAAGGATAACTTTGATTTTCTTTTCTGTCTAACAAGCTCTAAAATAGCTTGGATTTTTCCTCTTAAGAATAAGCTAATGTAGAGAAGAGATGCTGGCTGGCGGTGACTTTTGGATAAATAATGTTTTTTTTTTTCGCGCTCAAGGAAGTTTGTTTTACACTCTCTCTAGAAGAGGAAGATAAGCTACGGCGATGTTTTTCTATTCACATAGCAGTCTTGGAAAAATTTCCATTTGTACATCTCCTTTTCCGTTTTAAATTAAGAGTTGTACAAAAAAAATATTTTTTTGATTGTACACCCGTACACAGATTGAAAATGGAACTTATCATAACTTGGTTTAAGTAAACCAGACTGTTGATTTATTAAAAAAGTTGTATTTTGTTATGGTGCGATAACATAATTTGAAAACTGCGTGCTCCAGAAATAAGTTTCTTTCTCTCGACTTGTAATATCGTTACATAATCGCTTTAATCAATAGCTCCTATTTTATACCGTTTGCGCAAGAGTATGGGATAAAAAGATATAAAGTAAATTGAATACAAAATTTGCTAGAGAAAGAGCCCAAGCAGCAATTATCTTGTCTTTGTTCGAGCTGTGAGTAATCATTCAGAGAGGGAAAGGTTCCTTAGTTTAGATCCGTATTTCTTAAAAAGACTTAAATTAGACAAGAGACTGCCGTGAAGAGAGAGTGCAGAACTATTTTGATGTGTAAGTTATGAAATGTAAAAAAAAACTTTTCTTCTTTGTCATTGATGTAAAATTTATGAATAATTAATAAGCCATACCAACTGGTCAAGCGAGAAATTAACCCGGGCAAGTAAGGCCCGTTTCAAACGTCGTGCTACTGCCGTAGTAAACAAGTTACTTTCCAATTTGTGACCTCTACAGGTAAAAAAACTGTCTCTATAATTATGACTGAAATTTTTCGAAAGAACATTAAATCTTAAAGTAAAGGTTACAGTAGCAGGCTTAGTTTCAGCCAATATGATCACAAGGAGGCTTTAAGGCGCTGTTACACGAGACGATTCGCTACGACGAGTTTTAGCGCAACACAGTGTTGCAATGTTGGAACAATGTTGTAACCATTCAAAAGGATGTTGCAACATTGTGTTGCGCTAAAAATCGTCGTTGCGAATCGCCTCGTGTAACATCACCTTTAGCAACCTTGACGAAAACTGAATTCGCGCTGTTTCGAACTCAGTCATTGCTCTTATTCTATTTCAGTCAATTTGTCAAGTGTTTCGGGAGTTGATTGTAAAGGACTGTCCCTAAGTTCAGAAAAAGAAAAACAAAATTATTGTCTTGCGTTCACTCGTTTATAAAACGTGAAACTACGAAGTTCTACGTTGTGGTCGTGCAACAACGGCAAAGGAATCTACACTGAATTAAAAGCGTGGTGCACGTGCAAAGTTGTTGTTTTGCTAAACTGAACCTCTTGCTTTTTTACGGTTCTCGTTGCCGTCGCTGATTTCGTTGCTTAAGCTCCTAGAATCAGTGAAAGATTTTGGCAATTCTGCTTTTTTACAAAAGGGTCAACTTTGCTAGTTAAAAAGAGCAGAAATTTCAAGTTTCTGTGTTTATTTTTCATAGCATAAAATTCAAAATTGTTACCTATTTTTTGATGCTGGTCGATTAGGCGAGAAGTTAAAAAAGTTACCTTTTTAATGAAAAAAAAGGCAGGTATTGTCAGCTTTCAAGTGCAAATATTTTGATGTCAATATTTTTCACCTTTCATCCATTTCTCACTTTAGCCAACAAAGCTCTACAACGTGAAAAAGTTAACTTTTTTCGGTTACAAACAATCTCTCTAAAAGCGCGAAAAAGTTACCTTTTTGCGGTCAGAAGCGATGTTCTCAAAATCGCGAAAAAGGTAACTTTAAAAATAAATAGTCAAGCTATTGGGAAGACATTTAAAATCCTACTAATTGACAGATATCAACCATTTGGCGCCATGTTAATGAATCTTTTTGTTTGAATTCACTACTAGTCAGTGATGGCCGAATATATGGAATATATTAATTCGAGAGCCATAATAAGATTAATTGTAATTAGTGTACCCACAGAGCACTTAGGAGTTCTTAGAACTTGTTAAAACGTGTCCATGCTCTCCAGACCTAATTGGAATTTGGAAATGTTGGTTTTTAAGGAGAGGGGAAAACCGGAGTACCCGGAGAAAAACCTCTTGGGGCAAGGGAGAGAACCAACAACAAACTCAACCCACATATGGCGTTGACGCCAGAATTTAAACCCGCGGGCCACATTAGTGGGAGGGGAGTGCCCTCGCCACTGCGCTAATATTGCACCCCCATATGAACCAATTTATCCATTTGGCTGGTAATCAGTATTTTCAGATCGCTTCTATTTTTTCGCTTTTGATCGGCTAAAAGAAGCCAGCTATTTTTTTTTACTCCGTTGATTCCCACGTGTAGACCATTTCATATAGACCGCAAAAGACGCCAATAATGAAGGACGCAATAGTTACATTATTGATGGTCAAACTATTGGGAAGCAGTTAGAAATCTAACAGATGTTTAGATGTCAACCGTTGGCGCCCATTTAGCGTCAGCGAATGATACACACACGTTTTTAGGGGATTCTAACTTCCGATTAAATGAAATTTCGCCCTTTTTGAATCTAATTAAAACGAGTAAACGTTCCTATCGAAAGCGCAAAAAGGTACCTTTTAAAATAAATAGCCAAAGAAAACAGCCGACAATCCGCGACGCCACCACTGGGTTTACCGACGAAACGATGTCTGAGAAACGAAGGCAGAAATACCATACTGATGACGTGTTACTACCCATATCTGGGTATAGTACCTCTGATTGGCTGAAGCAAATTTCTCGAGCCGCCCGACCAATCAGAAGCACTAGCGAGATCTTGGTGGTGACGCGTCATCATATTAAACCAATGATGGCGTCGCGAGATGTCGGCTGTTTTCTTTGGCTATTTATTTGATATTCAAGAACTACAACAAGCAAATAGAAAACAAAAATAATTAAACATTATGCTTTATTTACAGCCTGAACATATTAAGAGGCCGAGATCTATACCGCAGGGTCATTAAAAGCTTCCTCTTTCAGCTGAAAATGCTTAAAATGAATTATATGGTAATTTGTCTGTTGGAGGTGTTTTATGAATATTATGCACTAGTTTACAGATAATTCATCCGAAAAACTTTTCCTCAGATGGAATTTTTGTTCTACTAAACAAAAAAAGAAGATGATCTTTTTTCACTCTTTGAAACATCAGCATAGCCTTTTCAGAGCAATTCTTTGTCAATTAAACTGTTCTACCATCGGGACTGGTTATATATACTAAACCAAAACATACCAAGGTCAAGACATTCTTCCATTCGGCGTCGACGCACTCTCGTAAATATCAGAAAAAAAAATGTTATCTATAAATTAATTACTTGCACATATGAAAATTCGTATAAAAAGAGAGGTTATAGAATTTACAGGCTGTATTCTACCATTGGTTTTTGAAAGAAATTTTTGAAGGAAAATTTAAACTTCGTTCACCCAATAAAAATTTAATCAACTTTTTCATTGAGTTAAAGAGAATCAGTAACTCCCATGCAGAATCAATAATCTCAGTTTCTCAGAAACTAGATCTGTTGATGTATTGCAGTAATAAATTTTTCCTACTTTTGCTGTCAATAATACAGTTCGATACAGTGCAAGTTCACGTCACATTAAAAGCAACTCGAATATCAGTAGATATTTTACTGCACCAAAAAACAAACGTTATCAATCACTTAGAGCAATTTTCAATTGAGTGTTGAAAGTAATCCAGGATTGAATTGGTTTTGGTGTACTGTGCTGTTTGATTGGTCTAGAAAACTCGCGCCACCCTCTCAGCTAATCAGATGTAAACTAAAACCAATCGCTCCTTGGTCACTCGCATTTTCCCGCGCTACAGGCCGGTTACACGCGTTTACTTCGAGTTGCCATTGGCTCCCTCTGATAATTTCCTTTACTCTGATTGGCCGTTGTGATTACTTTGGTTTTGGTTTTCGACACTCAATTGAAAAGCGCTCTATGTCATATGTCGGTTGAAAGACCGTTTCAGTCTCAGATACTAAGGACATCTCTAAAAGAAGCAAATCTATGTCTTTTTTTCAGTTCGCAACGGAATAGTCAGAGTCTACTCTCAGTCTTCACTGACATTGGTGTTCTGCTCCTAAGTGCGGCGCTTATTCCAGTCGTTTTTCTTAACAAATACGACTTTCTCACTCGAGCAGCCGATAGATATAAAAGCATATGGGTCATAGCTGGAGCAGGAGCAAAACCTTCTAGTCGACACAACGACATGGTCCGGGCCGTAAGTACTGATCTTTTTTTTCTGGATGTAATTTCTTTAACGCTTAAAGTCCTGAGAGTGACGAAAATCAATTTTCTCCTAACAATATCGATACATAATCAAGAGAAAATGTTCTGAGAATATATAAAGTAATCACTTCATAAAAAACGCTTTGATCTTCAAACAAATTCTCCCAACTGATTCATTAAGGAAACGTATATATGGACTATATGGACATCACTCATGAGAATTTGTATTTGAATATCGGGGCTTACAGAGTTACAGAGCCGGCCATCGGTTATATTCACTGTGTACACAGGTTAGTTTTTGTTGCCTGGGGCGGCTTTATTCCTCCATTGCTCCATTTCTTCATTACTGAACTTCACGTCTTCTCCAATGACATAAAATGGCGCCCAGTCAGAGATTCTTTTAAACTCTTCTCTCCCTTGTAGTGTTAACATGCTTCGCTGTAACGCTTGACACACGGAGAGTCCTTGTTTGGCCAGGTGATTATAAAACAGTTCCATGAAAGATAAAGTGGCTTCATCATCAATAGCCCACAAAGACACAACCACTGCTCTCGCACCAGCCCCCAGAACGAGCGAGCAATACCCACAACCCCTTCGGCCCGTATGTCTCCTTGTGCAGTTTGACAGCAGCTGAGAACTACCAGACGAGCACGCATGCTCAGCGAGGCTATATCTGCGCATGTCAACATATACTCTTCCTCGGTAGGCAGGCGGTTATTTCGAGCGGGGTCTGGATCTGGCGCGAGAACAATCTCCCCTTTGACGGGATCTCCGTGTGCAGCAATGTGAACTATGCTTACTTTAGAAAGACGTTTCATAACGGCAGACTTGGTAGCCATGCGCTGTATGAAGGGAGCAGTATTGAGGAGAGATCCAACTAACTCAGCTTCTCTTTGAGCCCCAGGTAGGCCAGAGGGGTCAACCTCTTCACCTCTCCGACAGACACGCCCTACTAGTGGATTACCAATCACAAGGGCCCCACCCTGGCAATCTTGCTTGGGACGCTCAGAAATAATCGCCAATGTCTCGAGTGAGGTACACATTTGTACACTATGCTTCTTGCAAAGAAAAAGTCCTTCACCATCCAGTAAAGCAGAAAAGGGAAGTCGATATAGGGCGGCTTCTGGAATGATCAACAGCTTGTTTCCTCGGAAGAGATGCTCAACTGGTTTGATCAGGATGTTGTATAACTGGCGTAGAGGATTGCCTTCATCAGAGACATCGCTGAGTTTGGTTTTAACGCAGCTCTTTGGAACAGCCTTTCTGCTGGAATCTACTTCAAAATCTTTGAAATTTCCTGAGTGTTTAACCGGATGACTCCAGGGTACTGACGCTGACTCGTGGACAGCAAAAACATCTTCGTAATCGTCTGCTTCGGAAGCGGATATCTCTCTGTCTTCAACTTCTCCTCTCAGTCCCCCTCTGATCTGTGTTAGTGATGTATCAACAAGGTTCATTAGCGCCCAGTACTTTTCAGTTTCTTTCTCTCCCCATGGTCGTACCCAGTCCACGCAGGAGTTTGAAACAACCCAGATACACATCTGACCATTGAAGAATGAGTAGAAAAGTGTAGTCAGTTCATCATCCTCTCGCAGTTTATCAACAAACCTGGAAACACGTTTAGCATCTTCTGTGCTCCGCTCCTTAATTAGCTTGTATACTGACTTCACTGCAAACTTATGGTATAGAAGATCTTTCAATACCACGGCACGCCCGCGATCTTCTACCAACAAAGCGTCCCTTCCTTCGTCATCTTGAAGCATGGTGTAAGCAAGAGCTTTGTACACAATGACATGCAAATCCCCGATTGAAACTTTAAGATTTTTTTGATTTCCCAGGTGCGAGCGCAGTTCTTCATAATCATTAATGCATTCTTGGTAAATGCTACCAGCCGCTTTGTACTCCTGTAACATGCGCAGACAGTAGGCACTGCCTAACATGGCGTGATAAGTAGGCAACCTCATTCCAGATTCCTTAAACAGGCGTTCGGCTGTCCTGTGATGAGTAAGTGCTTTTCTGTAGTCTTCGCTGAACCGAGAAGCGAGCCCTAAGCTGTGCTCTGCACGAGCAATCAGCGCTTTGTCTCCAATTTTCCTGGCAAGATTGGCGTTCTCTTGAAAGCAGGTTGAACTGGCTTGGTAGTCACCCAATGTGCAGTAGGCGTTTCCCATTCCACCGTTGGCGGCAAACTGGCCTCGGAGGTCCCCTAACACTTTAGACAACACGAGAGACTTCTTTGCATATATCAGAGCTTTCCTCGCGTCACCAAGGTAACGAAACACATTACTCAAATTAGCGTAAGTGCCGCACTCGTCTTGCCTACGTCCTGTCGCCATAGCAACATCAAGCGATTTTTCGTAGCAGTTGAGAGCCAGAGGGTATTCCCCGACATCGCGGTAGCAAAGTCCCAAGTTAGTGTGAGCGTGAAATTCCAGATCCATTTCTCCTGTCTCTCTTGCAAAGTGAAGTTCTTTTTCGAAGCACTCTATAGCCTGACGAATTTGTCCAAGATTTCTGTACACTGCGCCCATGTTTCCGTAGGTCTTGATTTTGAAGTGAGTATCTCCTAAATCTTCGCATATATCCAGGCACTTTTGAAAACACCGGATTGATTCACCGAAACTTCTCTGTTGGCTCTTGGCTGACCCAATCAGAACGTATGCTTCTGCCATTATCTCCTGATTTCGTCTTCTTAGTTTAGGATTTCCTTTCCTTGCTCCAGTGCTGCCTTCTTCACTTTCAAAATTGTTTAAAATTTCTAAAGCGTTTTCGTAATAGGATACCCCACGAGCCACGTCATTTGGCATAAAAAACATACCCAGGCAGCCCAAGGAAGCTGCAACGATGGTTGGATGGCCTGTGCTTTGTGAAATTTTGAGGCATTCTGTGAAAACCGAATACGCTTTTTGCTGTTGTCCACTTTTAAGTAGTGTCTTTCCAAAACTCAATGAAATCTCTATTGCAGGAACAACCACAGATTCCATTCCAGCCGCACAAATCTAAAATACTGGAAAACAAAAAAAGTATCGTTTAAATATCAAAAGTGACAATAACAGACGTCTCGCCTTGCAACAAAGGCTTAATAAACATCTTTAAAAGTTGTTTAGTGAGCTGTTTAGAAAAAGATGGATTACAGAATTGTTTGTTTCAAAAAAGCCTCGAGGTGTACTTCCTACAATGGCCACACGGGGGGTGGGGGTAGGGGGGGTGCTGTTCCCGAAGGGGGTACCTTTTTCAGGGCTAAAGGTGTATGGAAGGATAGGGATTTCATTACGTGTATGAAAGGGTAGGGAAATCTGTCATTTCGGTCTGTAAGAGGACCAAAAAGGGTAACAAACGCTTAAGACTCAAGAAAACGTCATAGTTTGGGGATTTTTGATTCATATTAAAAGACCGAGCATTGTGAAAGGGGTACTAGTTGTCAGTAAAAGGTATATGAAAGGGGTACTTTTTCTGGCAAAAAAGTTATGTAAAAAGGTAAGGGGTGGGACGTCAGGGCGGAGCCTCCCTGTAGAAAAAAATGGGTGAGTAACTCCACCCCCCCCCCCCCGCCCCGGAGGGAAGAAATCTGCTGTCTGATTGTTGTCCACTGTAAACTGTTTGGTTAACAACTTTGAAGAACTTTGATAACTGAAAGCCCCAGTTAAAGCATATAATTTGGGGTGATTTTCATTTCGTTAAACCTGGTTAAATTCAATTACTTTAATGTGAAGGGGGTTTTAGTTCAGAACTATTTTTCTTCATTCGTTTTCCCGCAAACCTTTAGATGGATAAGACCCTAGTTCCCAGTTCTCCAACGACACTGTAAGAACAATAAACCGGAGGCCAGGACTGTGCTTTATGGAAATCGACCGCAGCGAAGCGAAAGTATTATTTCCCTCTTTCAATATACTTCCTGAGAGCCTACTTTAAATAGCTGTAGAATACTACTTAACTTCTGTTTGTCTTCCTTAATGTCTACTTAAAAGGACCACACACAGTCAGCATCGGCTCCTGACACAATACATTTCAGTAATCTAAAGTTAACATAGTTCGCCCACATCTCGTCAATCATGCGTATAGTTAAAACAAAACATCAGCCGAAATAGATCTCGCACGGCTAAAATAATTACTTCGTAGCAATAGAAAACATAGGGCTGTTGATGACACTTTTAAATATTGAATATGTTGAGAACCGTTTTCCTAGAAATCTTTCTTGATATATATATGTGATTCGCGGACACCAGTTACGCTTCACGACTTTTCGATCAACTAAAGAGTTTTCGTTATTTTGTGCATAATTTGAGAGCACACATCAAAGTTTTGCACCAGATTTGTCGGGTGAACCGCTTGTCAGTATTCCTTTCAGCCTGCTAATGCGACAATGATATGTCCGCTTACCTCTCGATACTGGGACCTTGATCGGCTTGTCCTTGAAAATTACAAGCGAGTCAATTATGTGTTACGCGATGAACCTTCAAAGACACACACAAAAGCTATTTACCTCGCTTTCATGCGTTCTCCTTTCTCTTGTTTTGTTTCTCGTGATAGCTTTTCAAATCAGTGATTTAACATTCAATGACTACATTACTTGATTTGAATCCGTAGAGGTAGTATTTCGGAAGAGTGCTAAAATTTTCTACTGCACTTACTGGCAGTTTTAGTACGTCCTAGAGCAAGTAATTGCATGGCAGGTTCAGTTGGAATTTCCCACTCAAGAAACTCAAGGAAGAATGGGTACAAGCATTGAGTGCAGCGATTTGCGGGATTGTTTGGGTGAACGAGCGTTAGTTATGACTGGTCGATGGTTTAGAAAGGAACTCTTGCCCATCCAAACTATCCCAGAAGTCGTTGCGCGGAAAGCTTGTACCCATTCCCCTTATAATTCTTAGTGAGAATTCATGGTTCAAGAACGAAATATTAACAACTGGATATTCATTGTTGAAAGGCAACCTCAGGAAACGATCGCTTTTGAATATCTTTCTGGTGGCCTCTCTGGACCTTGATGGTGGACAATTTAGATTAAAATTAAATCAATATCTACACAAATTGCAGTGCATCAGAAACTTAGATAAGTCTTACAGAGATTTAAAGTTCTGTTTAGTTCTATTCTCCGCCAGTTTGAGTTGACGATCGAGGGCCACGGAAAATTGAAAATTGATCACTCTACAGCAAGTTATAAGAATACCTTGCACCCAAACCAGTAACTTGCCGTATTTACTGGTTTAAGTGCCGCTCTCGAATGAGCACTGCGCCCTCCTTGTTGATTTTCATTGTTTCCTTTTAAAAATATTTTTGTTGAAGCTGATTTGACTTAAGAGGGAAAAGTGGACCTTATTGACGCTGTTATCATGAGTTTCTTTTTTTTTCAACAAATCAAAGGAAATGAAATCGAAAATATAAAGCGCCGTGTCATTTAGTAGCGAATGAGTTGATATAAACCAAAAGACCCCATTCAAGAAGTTTAATTAATTAGCGCCGCGTCGCCTTATCTAAGTGAACACGTATTTTATCAAAGCTGGTTCAAAATAACGGCACATGGACTGCATGAGAGAGAGTGTGCATCATAAACGTTATCGAAATTAGGCTAGGTTTACAGTGGCGACTGAGAGAGACGGAACGAGATGAACGCATCTCGACGGAAAAAAAGAAAGATTTCCTTTCCAATATTTCTTTATGTTTTGCTTTCGTTTTCTAGCGTA